TTCAAAGTGCTGGCTCTAGGGGCCGGGTGAAGGCCACTCAATCTTGGGCTTCAGTTTCACCTCTTGTTCTAGGCCTACTGGAGCTAGAAGCATCTCCTAACTCATGGAGCTACTGGCCGCTGAGAATGACAGATCCAAAGTTGGCAGGTAAAATGGCACAATCTCAAGACTAGCAGGCAACATGGCAGGCCATTGGTTCAAATCCAGCACAAAGACTCAGCCAAATGCAGGATCCAAATGTGCCAAAAAGCTGGAGACCTTTCTCAAAGTTTCTCCATCTATGCTGAAAGCAGGCCACACCCCAAAGGCAACTACCTAGCTGCTCAAAGCAAATTCCACCATGGAGTTGATTACACCACATCCAATCCCATCATGGGGAACAACTACGTCCAGCTGCCAAGCCACTCAGAACCACGGCCCACCCAAGGTGACACAAAACCTTAACTACCGCTGGCAAGATGGCGGACTAGGCAGAAAGACTGCACAGACCCTCTTCAACAAAGAAAAGGGAAACCAATTAACACAAACACAGAAGATAATCTGGACCCCTGAACCTTGAAGGGAAGGATATAGAAGTGGACTAAACCCCAACTAGCAGAAGAATTTGCGTGAAAATACCAAAAAAGGAGACATATAGAGCTGCGGTCCGGCAGTGATCGTGAGCGATCCTGACGGCACAGACAGCTTGGAGATTCCCGAGTGGTGCTAGGACTTAAGAATTAACCTAAGAATCACCCTGTTAGCCAGGGACTGCACGGAGGACTGTGCACAGTGGCTGGGGAATAAACAGAGAAGGTAAAGAGAAAGGTGGGCTGAGCTGTGGACTTTGGCCAGTCCGGAGGGCACCGCCATTTTGAAGGTTTAAAAAAGCAGCTTGACTATTTTGGATATTTAAAGAGACAGTGCTCTCGCAGATTCCTGGGGCTTAAGAACACGTTCTGCTTTCCAGCAACCCCAAGGACACACCGGACCTGCAAGACTGACAAGTTTTTTGAAGGTTATTCTATTGTAAT